ATGGCTATGCTCACTCCATGTCCTATCTTTTGATATTTGTCAATTGATGTGGTCAACTAATACTTATGATGTTTCTGGTGTTTGATCTGTTATTCATTTCTATTAGTTTCTATTGTGATAATAATCTTCCAATTTTTCTCTGCACAGTATTTCAGATAGAAGTTTCATTTGTTGTTTTTCACCATTTCTCTTATATTGTATGTCATGATTGCACATGAGGCATGGTTAGTATTGTCTTTCTTTTTTATGTATTCTTGATTTTGTCCTATGGTGAGGTGTTCACTATGAGTTGATTTTGTAATTGTTTGTTCGAGCAGTATTGTGATTTGTTGTTTGCTACTTTCTCCTCTTAGGGGTTCTTTTATATTGCTCGCTATCATATTAGTATATTGTGTTGCATCTATCTGGAACTATCTGTTATAAAATCTTGATAAGGTTGATTATTTCTTCTATTATTGCACTCATTTTGTTCAGTTGTTGCTGGTATACTTCTTGAGATCTCTTTATGTCTTGGATGATATTACTATGAACTCTTAGTTGCTCCTCCCTATTAGTGCTTGTGTCCTCTTCCAGATCTTCCATGAGTTTGTTGATGCTTTCTTAATACCTGTTAGCATATTTTTGTTCTATGGCATTCACCCTTTCAGTTAGATCTTTAGGCCATTCTTTATTTCTTTTATATCCTTTTGGACTGATAGCAGTATATTCAAGATGTCATCATACATTGCCTGTCCTCTGGTTTTTGGCCATAATTCAGGATTTTTGCATAACTCCTTGAATTGTCTCTGGTGCTAGAGTACCTTTGTGTACCTTGGTTGGGGACTAACCTGCTCCCTTGGTGCATGATGATCCTGGGTTGTTTGATCGGTTTGTGTACTATCTTGGTGAAAGTGTTTGTGGTTTTTCAGGACATGAGTACATGTTGTGTTCTGTTGAGTTACAGATGCAGCATATGGGATCTCTCATTGAATCCATTGTATCTGTGTTTCTCTTATTAAAGGGGCTGATGACTTGGCTACCTGAAGGTTTTCTCTGGACTGAAAGGTAAAAACTGTGAATCTTTTAGCCTTGTTATTATTATTTGAAAGTATATATACTGATTTTGCTCCTGTGCTTGTAGTAATGACTGTCAGGTCTGATGCTATTGTATTGAGTGGGAGATGAGTAAGGGTAGCACTGTAACATTATATTTCTTCTTTAATCTTATGGGTTTTATAGAATGGAAATATCCTATATAAATAGTATCTCTGCATGAGTAACCATTTCTGATTAATCTCTATATAGTCAAAGGTATTGAAGAAGGTGATGTTTGCCATCTGGAAAGGTTCAACTTTCTGTAAGGTATGTAATTGATATTTATTTATTCATTGAAAATTCTGTTAGGTTGTTTTGGTGAAGTGTAGGGAAATGTCCCATACTCTGATTGTACAGGAGTTGTTATCTTGAAATCCAGTAAAGTGATCTTCCTGAATTTGTTATTCTTATTCTCTGAGAGTTTAGTTTCACATGCCATGTGTGCTTTCTCTTGATTGCTAAAATGGTAGCGATCTGTAGTTTTTCAATTGAGTATTCATATCTCATATATTTTAGGAAGGAGAGGTACATCATTTTTTGTTTAATTAAGTCCATTTTCTCTCCAGCTGTCTGTCTGGGAACCAGGTCTGGATCGATAAAGGCTTTTTCAGGCCTAAGAGTTTCTTGGTATCCTTGAGACTTCTGAAAGTGGTTGAGAGTTCCTATTTATTTTCCTGATTCTCGTAACTGTACCCAGCCTGTTCAGTGTTGCTTGGGATGTCCTTTTTAGCTGGAGTATCTAGGGTTGCTTCATTCTCAATAATGTTTACTGTGTCTAGTAAGAGTGCTCTGCTAGTTTAGAGGCTGGTCTCATTCTCCTTCTCTATTTCTTGCATGTTTGATTCAATGTCTATCCTGTTTACTTGGTTTCCATTCTCCTTCTCTTTCTCCTTGTCCAATGGTTTCTTTGGTTAGCCATTCTGGTTCCTAGTGATATGTATCTGAGTTGTGAGGAGGGAGTTGTTGCTTTGATTTTCAAGATTTTTTCATTATTCCTGTTGATCCAGTCAATGTTATATTCCAGTGTTATCTACCTTATAATACTTCTTAGCTATCTTGTGGAAGTTATCTTAAAAGCAGTTGCTACTTGGTAATAGAGATAGAGTTCATTTTTGTGTTTTTTCAAAAAGGAAAATTTTTTCAGTTTTTGAAATTTTTTGGGAAAGGGCAAGGTCGGTATGCTACTCTCGGACCTTCATTTATTGTTAAAAAGTTTTTTGTTTTAATATGAAAATCTCTACTTATAAATTAAAGCAAGAGTTGTAATAATAAAGCTATATTAGATTATTGGAGAAATCAACTTAAACGAGATATGAGAAATAAAAAAATAAAATCCATGCTACTTGGCAATTAATTATTAGTTTAAATTAGCAAATTTTTCTATTACAAAATAATAATTCACTTATAAATATATAAGCAAATATAGCAAATACTAGATAGTTACTAATATTAAAATTAATGCAACCTGCTCTTACAAGTTTTTTATCCTATATAGGTTAAGAAGCCCTTGATGATTATTTTGATAAGGTTATATACTTCATGGGCATTTGCTGAAGACCATATGATAGTTCTTGAAAATATAAATGCTGACAATTTTAATTATGCAGTTAAGTGCAATATTTTAAAATCCAAAATGGTCAGAAAATATGCCCAGTATCAGCTAATGATCTCTTTACTCATATAACCTTTCTATTAATTCTCCAGTAACTTTATGGACATGAGAAAAGCAAAATATAAAAGAGAAACAGTTGAAACTAAACAATTCACAATCCAAAAATTAACTCAAGAAAAATTTCAGTCATTTGATATTCTGATACCTATGAGATGAGAATCTAACCTCCTTTATTGAGTGTAGCCAATAATAATACTCAAGTTTTAGAATTTTTTAAAAGTCAATTATTAGATAAGTTTTTCACTTGAATAAGGTCTGATGCTCTAGTAGGTATTAATGAATTTTTCATTGTATTAAAAAATATGTAGTATAATATACTCTAAACCTATATGAAGGATCAAATTTTGATCAAGTCTTAGTTGTTAGGCTGGAGGCTAGCTTTTCAACTAATATAAGATATTACCTACAATTTCTCAACCAGAAACCAGCTCATGCCAATTACAAAATAAATGTATGATTCTAGTACAACCTTAATAGAAATGATCTAATTTCAATGATTATTCTAGAGTACCAGATAAACATATATCAGAAAGATCTCAAGATAGATATAGCATAAATTCTGAAAGGTTTATTCATGCTAATATTATAAATCCAATTTCTTCAACTAATCAAATTATTAAATCTCTAGCCAATGATCTTTATAAAAAATTGTTTAATATGTTTTTAGCAAAACTGGTATAATTGAAGAATAAAGATATCAGTATCAATGATATAGATGAAATTACTAAAGGTATGTCAAAATTTTCCTTAAATTTAGCAAAAATAGCAAAAGAGGTTAATGCTGTTAAGAAATCATTCAAATACTGTATCATTGTTCAAATTTCAATAGGACTGAACATAATTTTGCAAATGCCTTAGAAAAAAATCTAAAAATTTCAAAAGATCTAGTAAGAATAAAAAAGATAATGTTAATATGACTACCAATGATTCTGGTTTAGATACAAACTCTTTAGATAATAATTTTTTAGATAATGACTTTTATTGTGAGGATTTCTCATCTGAGGTTGAATCTGATCATAGTTATGATCTATATATTTCTAATACAAAAAAAAAAAAACAAGTAGAAGGGTAAATCAGATAAATCATTATCTAAAAAGTGATCAAGTCCAAAGAAGAGATAGAGTCTTGAGAAAGCTGAGCTTCGAGTTTTAACTCATTTCCGATTTAATATACTTTACAAAAATCATAAACAAAATTAGGTACAATTATCAATGCACAAATCTGAAAAATTATTTTAGCTATGTTTAATGATTCAGAGGTTATAGAAATAATTAAAAACAATATTAATAATATGAATTTAACTATGACTTGAAAAGTCATCTCTAAAGGGCCTATAAAACTGGACTTTATTGCAAAGCAGGATACTTCGTGCTGAAATTATTGAGAGCCAGCTCCAGAAATAACTGATTTGGATAGTGAGGATGAAATAATAGACAATTCTATGAAAATAGGTTTTGTTCATTGGAAAGAACCTGTCCCAAGCCTTGCAACTATACCATGTAAAATCAAATGTTTAAAAATTCCAGTATTGGTACTCAATAGTAGGGCTAAACCTCCAATTATGTCAGAAAATATTGTTAAATATGTAAATTGGTCAATTGATAAATCAGAAAAATATGATATTAGCAGTATTGCAACAGTCCCAACAGAATCTATTGGCATTGCTCATAATTTTCCAATAATATTTCCTCTAGGTTTTACTATACATGAAGATTTTGTAGTTATATATGTTCCTAAACCAACATTGATATTCTCAAACCCACTTCTCAAGAAATATAAATGCACTATAGATTGAGGTAAAGATGAGTTAAAAATTCCTTTTAATGGAAAGAATCACATTATTTCAATTACTATATACAAAGTCAAGAATAAACTTGAAGTAAATTGTACTATTGCATCTCAAGATAATAGGGATAGAGTCATATTGCTTTGCAATAAGCTTTTGATATCTGATCAAATTTCACAGGATGGCAATAATAATGAGGGTAATAATAAACTATTTAAAGAATGGTATGTTCCTACAGACTTTAGCCCAGATTTTGACAGTTCAACTTTAAAAAAAAATACATGAATTATGAGATGTATAAAAAAGAAATGCATAAAGCAACTAAAGTTATTACTGGTTTTAATGAACTTGTTTGTCATATAAGATCATCTAATAAAGAAAATAAAGATTAGGTAGGATGAATAAAGTTCATCATTTATGATTCATCAATATTATATCCTGAATATGATAAATTTTCCTCGCCTTCTTTTACTGCACATTAAGACGGGCTAGTTCATCCATATCTATTTTTTCTGTTGAGTCCTCAGAAATAATGAGTGGATCTAATATCTGAACAGATTTGGATTTCTTCATTTTTGTTTGCTTATTTGGTTGTGTTGACTTTACTGATGAGTTATCTATAACAGAGCCATCTGCCAGGCGATGAATTGGAGTTGTGTCAAGGACTTGAAGCTTAGCTTCTTTGAGACCCTGTCTCTTCTCTGAATTATATTTCTTTGAGTCTAAATGTTTGAATTCTATATGGGTAACATTCATGGCAGAATTTAATTTATTATTGGAGCTAGTATCAGTGGTAGGCACGTAAGTGTTATTGTTCCACAATAAGTCACAACTTTTCGACTCAAGACACTTGGTGTTTTGATATGTTGGGGATGTAAAATTAGAGACATCGTCATACGAGTATGGTATAGGCTGATCCCATAAAACTCTATTGGCTTCTACCCACTCCAAATCTGATAAATACGTTTTGTTGACATTTTATACTTATTCATTAATTTATTTAAAAATTTATACCTTGGTTTTATATCACGACATTCCATAATATAAGAATAATCTTCGGCTGTAAATGGGGGTGCATCACATTTCATACTTACTCTAACCATAGTGATTAATACTTTGTTCTTTTTGTTAATTTAAAAATATAAGATATTTATATCCAATGAAAAACATAAAATAAATATAAAAAAATGTATATATCAAATATATAAGTCTAATATTCACTTAATACAAATGTCTAATATAGTATATACTGTATATATGTATTTCATTTTTTTATGTTTATCCTATATGATATATTAAGTCCAACATATATATATATTTAGCTTTGTTTATTTTATTCAAATATAATTTACAATTTATTTTTAACTATTGTTATGGGTATTAATGAAGAATTGCATTATGCTACAAAAATTATATCCAATATAAATTCTTGCAATAAATCATTGAGAGCCGATCAATTAAAACAAAATAAGAAGTGGGATCAGGAGAGGGAGCAATGGGATCAGCATTTAAAACGGGTTAATTTGGATTACCAGCAAATTCATACTGATGGCATACAACTTATCAATGAGATCAAACGATTGAAAGTTGACAATATTGATCTTTTATCCCAGCTTACGAAATCACAGATTTCCTATACTGAGTGCGAATCTGAGAATACTATAAATTTAAAGAAAATCGAATCACTTGAGTCTGTAATTAAGGTATTGGAAGATTGGTTGGCTTCAGCTCGGAAAGATGTGATTTCGATTCAAAATGATTTACTAAAAAAAGAATCTGAGATTTTATCTTTCAAATCCAAAATAGTTTAATTGGAAAATATACAGAGCAAATTGGAATCAAAGGTTAGTGAGCCTGAGCGTCTGAAATCAGAAGCTATATCAAAACCCATACTTGGTGGAAACAATGAAAAAAATATATCTGCAATATTGCAAAGCAATGACACTTATATGACTAGTGAAGAATCAGAGATTCAAGGCACAGCCTCACCTAGTAAAAATCTCAGTCAGTATCTAGTACGCAAAAAAAAAAAAAAAATATGGACCAGATAGCACATAGTGCCGAGGAAGCTGAGGTTCGAGTCCCTGACTCATCTTTGGTTCCTGAAAAAATATATCGTCCCATACAGATGATGAGATTACTGAACTATCAAAAATTGATGCTGAGATCAGTCCTAAGATAAGTGGGGGAACTAGCATTAGTGATATTAACAAAGATAATATACTATATACTGTACATCGATAAAACTTAATGTATCAGAGGCTATGCGCAAAATACAACTCCTTACTTTGCACAACCAGAAAATTATAACCCCCTCTTTGATTGAATCACACTCTCAAATTCCAATAGAAGAAATAGAAACGATGAGACCTAGTCTCAAGGCTTTGCCTCTTCCCACTGTGGCAAAACTTTGATGTCATCTCTATCGGCATATATCTTTCTTATCTTGTTAATTATTGCAGTTATGCGATTTGTAGTATTGAGGCGTTCATGGGATATAGGTAAAAAACATGATTGGCTATGGGATACGTGGACGAGGTATTAGGAACTATCTATTTAAACTTGGGTATTTTTATGTACGAAAAAATATTATTGATAATTTATAGCCTTATAGATATCATGTTATATTTATATCGAATTGACTGCCTTATACCATATATTTAGAAAACTGTTGAGTACTAGTTGATCAGTTTTCGTTATATAGGGTATAATAGGTTGGTCGACAATTATCTCATTTTTTCTCATAGTTTTGGGTGGGCCAATTTTATCTGGATTTGATACATGTTCTTTATATAGCATGTAGTATACTAATTGATGGAAAGAGGCATCATATTTTTCAATGATTGAAATAAGTACATTTAGGTGTTTCGTAAAATCGGAGCATATAGATTTTTCTATCTCTTCACCTATCAAAAGATTATCGTTTTCAGTATACGCCCTGTCATACTCTATGAATCTTTCCCACAATCTCTCAACAGTATTAGCTGTCTTAAAATCCTCAAAACTAAGCCATTCCCCATGAAATATCTTGTAAGTATTACCTATCTTCTGATGTAATATAAATTGTGCGGTTTTGATGGCATTCTTGTAAGCGCGTTTGTAAGCATATCCACGATTAGATATTATTTTAGAATCGATCCCATTTATCTCCTTAATATACGATTCAAGCCACTTCTTGGCCTTATTTTAAGAATAGATATCAATCTGTTTATACTTCTCATCCAAGTCAGAAATTTGCATTACCTTGTCGGTAGATGGTGGTTCGTATCTTTTATCATACATTATGAATCGGGCGCAAAGTCCAATGATGGTATTTTCAAAGTAATGGGATAGATCTAATTCCTTATTTAATTCTTTTGCAACATCCACGAATTCCATTTGATCACTCTTTTTCAGTGTAAACTTTTTACCAGATAAATCAAAGAGTGAACCCGGGTGGATTATTACATAACTAAATCGTTCTCCTGGATCCGAAATCTTATTTTGGTATCCTTTTCTCATCAGTTTTATAAAATTTTGAACACGTATATTATTTTTATTAGGTTTCCATGTGGCGGATTCTATAAATTGATCGAAATCCCATTGTCTAGGATTAGTTATAGCCTCTTTGAGGACGTCTTCAACAATTTCATGGAGAGTTTGATTATTATTAATATCCATCGCCCCCACATAATCCGATCCTCTATAGTTCTAAAATGTTGGGATTTACCTTGCTTCACCGTATCTATCAATACCTTTGATGAAAAGTTTTTTTGTTGGTCCAAAATTTGGCTTGTTTTTATGCTCAATACCAAAATATTTTTTCTTTCCAGTAAAACAAACTGGAAATAATACTTCCTCGTAGGCCATTTTAAAATGATTTGAACCAGTTCTCAATTTGAGAAAAGTATTTATCTCATCCCGTAATTTATTCATTATATCTATAGTGATTTCAACCATTTTTGTCCAATACTCTAGCTTTGAAATCATGCCTTTACCATTATCATAAGCGAGATCGCATTCTTTATAATAATTATTAGGAGATTTAAGATATAATGAATCTGTATCGCCATACATAATTTTAAAACCCTTCTTAGTTACATTGTCTGCAACGAGTTTGATAATATGCTGTCCTGCTGTTGTAATACCTCCAGCTAATACTCGAAGAAAGAATGGAGATTTGCTATTTCCAGTTTCGCCATAAACGGTATTCGTAAAAACCTTAACAGCTTTCTGTTTTGAGTCCAAACAATTATAATCAAAATATATAGAATTATACTCTGAGTTTAAACTGTCTGGAACATTTTTACCTTTTTTCTCTAATGAACTTTTTAATTTTCCGAGTTGTTGTTTTTTCTCACCCAATATATTGAGTTTTGATTTGAGTTCCACCCGCTTATTAAAGAGATCCACTAATACAACAGGATATAAACCTTTTTTTTCTGATTGATTATTATGACGGACACACCAAACATTAAGTGTGTGATTATTGAATGGGAATTTAATCTCATATAGGTCACATCCCTTGGCACGTACGATATCAGCTCTTCACGATTTAATATTATTTTCTCGGGTGAGAGATTATAGGTCATCATAAGGCTAGGATATAAGGATGCAAAATCTAAACCTGTTACTGGCCTTTCACTCTCAATACCTTTCTTAGGAGGAAAAACATATGCACCGCGATACTTTCCATTTTCTATATTTTTACATACTCTTGTACTAAATACCATATCGCGCTTGAAAGCATAAGCTCCCATAAGATTTCGTACTTTCATTCCATTTGCGCGGTAGTGAGCATCAAATAAAGAGATATAGGTGATCGAAGCAACCTCTCTATAATAATTTATCACATTATGTGCAACCATAAGCTCTTGACAACTTAAAGCATCTTTAATGCAATAGTCAGCTACTTTACGCATTCCCTCCATATTTAGATTCATAAATTTTATTCATGGTGGGTATCGGCATATCAACTTTCCACATTTATTTAAATAAAAATTCAGTGAACTATGTTTTCCCACTTCTGATCGAGGATAAAGCTTCATGAAAGATACACGAACATCAATCGGAACACATCACGGTATCTTTAGAAACGAAGAATCAAAATCCTGTTGTGCATCAATCTTAATCTTGATAAGCTTTCGTCTGAATTCCTTCTCTTCATACTCGTACTCATCCTCATCCCCATCTTATTCTTCTGTATTCGATTTACTGAGATTAGATTTGTTATAGAAAGTATTGCTAGTATTTTCACCTATCTCCCCATAATAATCATAACGTAAAATCTCTTCAGCATTTTTTCGATATAACCCCCGATATTCGTTTCCACGTCCATCCAAGAACACCTAAACTTTTTGCTTTTTCAATAATAAAAGGCCAATCATAATCAGAATCGTTAAAACCGAGTCGGATATCGGGGGTAAGAGCTTGTAAACAGAGTGCAAAAGCTTTCAGTCAATTAGTCTGATTTCCACAAATTATTGTAATCCATCGTGGGTCTGGTGATGTCTCGATATAAACAAGACATATTTTTTGTAATGCTTGGGAGTCATCCTTCCAATGCAAAGTTATACAGATCATGAAAACTTTATCCTCATTGTATTTAATGATGTGGGATCTTCTATAGGATGAAAATTTTTTGCAGATACGTACATGGAATGCATATGAACAAAGATTAGAATTTTTGTTATATGTGTAATTACTTATCATAGACCATCCCGATAATGAGAAACCGTATTCA